ACTAAAGTATAGGCATTTGTTACCCACGGGGGCAGCAGCCTGCTTACCATGAGAAGGATTTCCAGGGAGCTTTTGCGCGCTAGTTTTGGAGCAGGTTGTGATGTCCCAAGAAGAGAGCTCCAAGAGGCCCCCCCCCAGGGGCGTTCAAAGCGGCGCGAAGTGACCCCAAGAGGCCACACACAAGCGGTTGCCATGACGCCCGAAGGGGGCCCACCGAGACCCCAAAGACGCTCAGAGCAGGCCCCAAACGAGCTCCTAGGAGCTGTCCTGGAGGCACCCGACGCCGAAGAGGGGCCCGAGAGGCCCTCAAGAGCTCCCAAGAGGCCTCCAGGAGAGATCCAATATACCCTCAAGAGGCGTCCCGAGCGGCTTATAGGGGCGCAAGCCTCGGAATCGCATCGGAGGAGGTAGTGCAAGAACATAACTCGTAAATGATCCTTAGTTTGTGAATGTGTTTGGCCTCTCGAGGGCTTCCCAGAGCTTTTGGGGGACTCTGAGAGGCCAGTTGAGTTGATCTTTTGTGCTCTCGGGAGCCTCCAGATCCAACTTTTATTAAAACGAGATCCCCTCAAATCCACGTTTTTCAAGTTCGATTCCGCCCTCCGTTCCTGCCCCAGGCTTTGGCGTGGCCCAGCGTGCCTTTCCGTTTTCCCCATCCCTCGTTGTCCGTTCTGTGTTATCTCTCTCTCTCTCTCTTTCTCTCTCCATTCTTTGGTTCTCTTGCGTCTCTCGTCCCACATCCTTCTCCTTCCTCTCCTCCTCCTTCCCCCCGCTGCGTAATTTTCCCGTCTCTCTTGCACGCCTTCTTCCTTCCGCCTACCTCATGCGTGTCCGTCTCCCCCCGCCCTACTCCTTCCTCCCTCCGACTCCTGCCGACTATTTCCTCCCTCCGACTCCCTCACCCAGCATCTTGCTCCACGATGTGGTGGGAGGCCCAGCTTGAAGATCAAGGAATTTCCTCAAAACCATTTTTGTTCAGGGTCTCCACCCCCTAGTTCCTCCCGTTCCAGGCTTTGGCGTGCCCCCGAGCGCATTTCCGATCTCCCCATCCCTTATTGTCCGTTCTCCTTGATCTTTCTTCCGTGCTGTTGGTTCTCCTATGTATTCCGTTCCACATCTTTATTTTTCCATCTCTTCTTCCTTCCTCCCCGTTGCGTCATTTTCCCTCCTCCTTCCTCCTGGTCACTCCTTAACGCCTTCCTCTCTCCGCCTCAAAACTGCGCTTCCGTCTCCCCCATCCCTCATCCGAATCTCTCATTCATTCCTTCCTCCCTCCGACTCAATCACCCAGCATCTTGCTCCACTATGTGGTGGGAGGCCCAGCTTGAAGATCCAAGGCATTTCCACAAAACCATTGTTTCACTTTTCCAGGCTTTGGCGTGCCCCCGAGTGCGCTTCCGGTTTCCCCATCCTTCGTTGTCCGTTCTCCATGATCTGTTTTGGTTCTGTTACGTCTCCCGCTCCACATGTTTCTCGTTCCTCTCCTCCTCCCTCATCCCCGCTGCGTCATTTGCGCGTCTCTCCTTCATGCCTTCTTATGTCCGCCTCCTTCTTGCGTTTCCGTCTCCCCCATCCCTCATCCTCATCTCTCTGTCACTCCTCTCTCCCTCTGCCTCCCTCAACCAGCATCCTGCTCCACTATGTGGTGGGAGGCCCAGCTTGAAGATCAAGCAGTTCCCTCGAAACCTTTTTTTCAGGGTCTACATCACTCTGGTTCCTCCCGTTCCAGGCTTTGGCGTGCCCCCGAGTGCGTTTTCGGTTTCCCCATCCCTCGCTGTCCGTTCTCCCTGATGTTTCCTGGTTAGTTTGCGTCTCCCGCTCCAAATCCTTCTCTTTCCTCTCCTCCTTCCTTGTCCCAGCTGCGTCATTTTCGCGTCTCTCCTTCACGCCTTCCTCTCTCCGCCTCTCTCATGCGTTTCCGTCCCCCCAGCCCCCATCCTCATCTCTCTTTCACTCCTTCCTTCCTCCGCCTTCCTCACCCAGCATCCTGCTCCACTATGATGTTGGAGGCCCAGCTTGAACAACATAATCATGTCCTCAAACCTTTTTTCCAGGGTCTGTCCCCCCCCCCCCCAGTTCCTCCCGTTCCAGGCTTTGGCGTGCCCCCGAGTGCCCTTCCCGTTTCCCCAACCCTTCGCTGTCTTTTCTCCATGACTTGTTTGTTGTTTTCGATGATCTTGCGTCTTCCGTTCCACATCCTTCTCCTTCCTCTCTTCCTCCCTCCTCCCCGTTGCGTCATGTTCCCTCCTCCATTCTCCTCGTCTCTCCTTCACGCCTTCCTCTCTCCGCCTCCCTCATGCGTTTTGTGTCTCCCCCATCCCTCATCCTAATCTCTCATTTTTTCTTTCCTCCCTCCGCCTCCCCACCCAGCATCCTGTTCCACTATGTGGTGGGAGGCCCAGCTTGTAAACAAGATAATGCCCTCAAACTGTTTTTGTTTGCTCAGGGTCTACATCCCCCTGGTTCCTTCCGTTCCAGGCTGTGACTTGTCCCCGAGTGCGTTTCCTGTTTCCCCATTCCTCGATGTCAGTTTTCCCTGATATTCCTTTATTGTTCTTGATTCCCCTCTGTCTCCCGTTCCACATCCTTTCTTTCTTCTCCTTCCTCATCCCCGCTGCTTCATTTCCCTCCTCACTGTTCCTCGTCTCCCCTTCATGCCTTCTTCTCTCCGCCTCCATCATGCGTTCCTGTCTCCCCCCCTCGCTGTTCGTTCTGCCTGATCTCTTCCTCGCCTGTGGTTCAACTGCGTCTCCCGTTCCACGTCCTTTTCCTTCTTCTCCCCCTTCCTCGTCCCCGCTGCGTCCTTTTTCCTCTTCCCTCCTCCTCGGGCTTATCGAGAGCTTCCCCCGAACTCTTGGGGAGCTTTTGGAGACCTCATGGGGCGATCGTTGGTGCTCTTGGAGGCCTCCGGAGCAAACTTGAAACAAGGGCATTCCCTCACATCCGTTTTTTACCAACCATCCTGTGGTGTTGGGTCCACGTGTTGATGAAACAGCGCCCCGCGTTCTCCTCCCGCCTTCTTCCTTCCGCCTCCTCCCTCCTCCCATCCCTGCCTCTGCCTCTGCCCACACCACCACCACCACCACCACCACCACCACCACCACCACCACCACCACCAACATGGCCGTCATCCTCACTGTGATCGCCATCGCCATCATCGCCGTCATCACCAGCATGGTAATCAGCTTCATTACCCCAACCATCCTCGTTAACGCCATCACCATCGGCCACAATTCAGCACATCCCTCACACGCTTCGTGGCCCCATAGGGAGCTCCACACAACCATCACACTATTGCTGGCGCCATAGGGGGCTCCAGCAGAGGCCCCGCCCCAGTCCGGCACACCCCTCACGCGGTTTGTGGCCCCTCAGGGAGCTACACCTACTGCCCCAGTAGGAGGGTCCCCATGTCGGCCCCGCCCCGTTTCGGCACACCCCTCACGCGGTTCGTGGCTTCATAGGGATCTCCACCCGAGGCCCCAGTGGGAGGGTCCGCATGGCGGCCTTGCGTCATGTCGGCATGCCCCTCACACGGTTCGTGGCGCCATAGGGAGCTCCACCTAAGGCCCAAGTGGCAGGGTCCGCATGGCGGCCCCGTCCCAGTTCGGCACACCCCTCACACGGTTTGTGGCTCAATAGGGAGGTCCAGCCAAGACCCCAGTGGGAGGGTCCGCATGGCAGCTCATCTCGGCACACCCCTCACGCGGTTCGTGGCCTCATGGGGAGCCCCACCCGATGCCCCAGTGGAAGGGTCCGCATGGCCGTCCCGCCCTATGTCGGCACACCCTTTATGCGGTTCGTGGCCCCGTAGGGAGCTCCACTTAAGGCCCAAGTGGCAGGGTCCGCATGGCGGCCCCGCATTAGTTCGGCACACCGCTCACACGTTTCGCGGCCGCATGTGGGGTTCCACTGAAGGCGATATTCACAACGGCTGCACTCACAACTGCATTTGGTTGGGTTCTTCGCCATGCAGATGTTCTTGGTCCCCCCCCGTCAGTTCCCTCAGGTCCCAGGCTACGGCGTGCCCCAGAGTGCGTTTCCGTGTTCCCCATTACTCATTGTCCGTTCTCCCTGACCTCCCTTTTTTGTTATTGGTTCTCCTCAATCTCCCGTTTCACAGGCTTCTCCTTCCCTCCTTCCTCCCTCCTTCCCGCTGCGTGATTTTCCCTCTTCCCTCCTCGTCTCTCCTTCAAGCCTTCCCCCCTCCGCCTCCCTCATGATTGTTTCGGCTTTCCGACGCTCCAAGACGGCCCAAGAGGTCCCCAAGACAGCACCAAGACAGTCCAAGAGGTCCGCGCGACGGCCCGAATTCGAACCCAACAGAGCGCCAAGACAGCCCAAGAGATCGCCAAGACGGCTCAAGAGGCCTTCAAGACGGCCCCAAGGCAGGGGTAAGAAAGGGTATCCAAACCCGTACTTCGAACCCAGGCGCCAAGAGCCCTGGGGAGGCCCCCGAGGCGCCCCCAAAAAGTCCCAAGGGACCACCAGGAGACCCCTAACAACAAGCGAAGAGCCCCACCCCCAGAAACCCCCAAGAGCCCTCCAAGAACGTTTCTCAAAAGCGTCCAAAGAGACTGTCAGCACGGTTTTGCAAAGTTCTCAGGGGCTCTCGGGCATCCCCCCGTAGGCTGCCCTGAGTCCTCCTCGTGGCTGCCTTGCGAGACCTCCTGGAGCCTCTTCAGCGACTCCTGAAGCGTCCATCAGGAAGAACGTTCCCATATGGTGATCCTTGCGGGATTGGATTGAACTGCGCCAGAACCTAAGCGCGCGCGAAGCGCGCGCGTGGTTCTAGCACATCAGTGTGTGGATTCCGTGTCGTCCAATGGCTCGCTAGTGTCGTTTTCGCGTCGACCTTCGTTCCTAAGACTCGGCAGGTCTCCTCGGCCTCCTTGCGGTGGCTTCAACGTGCCAATGAGGCTCAAGCCGTGCCGAATTGCACCACTTCGGTGCAGGCCACAAAGCATTAGCAACACCAGACTCCGTGCACTCGCATAGGACAGATGTCTCGCATCCAACGGATAGTTTCAGTGCACGCCCGCTCTCTGATTGCAATTGCTGTGTTGGGTGCGCACTTGACTCCAGCGCGTGCTGACTGCATTGGCGGACCAAACCCAGAAGACGTCATCGGCCAGCTTGTTGCCGCACCATATTCGAGACTGGAGCGTCCTGACAGCGATGGCCCGCCGACCAAAGTGGCTACCCAGCTCTACCTGGAATCGCTCAACTCTGTCGACGAGAAGGGCAACGCGGTGGACGTGTCGGGCTATTGGCGCATGAGTTGGAAGGACCAACGATTGAACTTCACATCGGTGGAGGATGGCGGTTGCTTCGACTCCCTGAATCTGCCCCTTCAGGGCTCTGGGAAAATTCCGTTGGAGTCACCAGACGTCTGGGTTCCTGACCTCTACTTCTCGACTGCCCTGTCTGAGTCCTATGGCTCCAATTTCTTACAGGTGTCCTACACTGGCTCAGTGTACGTGTCGGCCCGCTTCAAGCATAGCTTCAAGTGCGTAATGGATTTCTCCGAAATGCCTTTTGACAGACAGAAATGTACGATCGACATCCTGTCGTACACAGAGGATGCTTCCATGGTTGAGCTTTCCGCCAAAGATGACCTCGGAATCGAACTCCCAGAAGCAGGCGTATGGCTCCCCGCGTGGAAGGTCAGTGAGACGGGCCACAGGTTCCATGTGCAGCAGTACGGCACCGGGGAGAACGCCATGCAGTGGCACACGCTGAAGCTAGACTTTACTCTCGAACGCTCCTCGGGGTACCACATCATGAACGACGTGCTCTACGGAATCCTGTTTGTGGCAATGTCTTGGACTGGCTTCTTCGTCGCGCGGACGAACGCGCCCGCGCGAGTTGCGCTGTCCCTTCTGCCCGTGCTAACCATGCTGAATCACATCAGGGGCGTGCAGAGCCAGCTCCCGCGTATCTCCGAGATGACCTGGCTGAGCGCGTTCCTTCTCGTGAGTCTGATCTACAACGTCGCTGCGGTTCTCGAGTACGGCCTAGTGTCCTCCCTGCTCAGCAAGGACACGGGCCCGATTCGGCTTCAGGCCCGCTTCGGCTTCGGTCCCGTTTCGGCTTCGGCTCGTTTCGGCCTCAGCCCGCTTCGGCTTCGGCGCGTTTCGGCTTCAGCCCGCTTTCGCTCCGTCTGTTTCGGTTTCAGTCTGGTTCAGCTGCGTCCCGTTCCGGCTTCACTGCCCGGGTGCGAGCGCGAACCCGCAAGCCGAAACGGGCCGGAGCCGAAACGGGCCGGGACGAAACGGGCAGAAGCCGAAATTGGCCGGGACGAAACGGGCCGAAGCCGAAACGGGCCGGGACGAAGCGGGCCGAAGCCGAAGCGGAGAAGGACGAAGCGGGTGGGAACGAAGCGGACCGAAGCCGAAACGAGTGGATGAGACCGAAGCGGGCCGAAGCCGAATCGCGAATCGGGTCCAGCTTCGGCTTCCTGCCCCCTGGATAAGCACGAAACAAGCTCAGGAGCACCTGCTTCAGACGAGGCGCCCCTAACCATTACTCTCATGTTCATTCCCTCACCTAACCCAGGCCCAGCCGAATCCGAACCTGACCGCACCCGCACCCAACCGAACTCGAACACGCGCGCTCGCGCCGCCAAAACGGTCCCAGAGGCGCCCAAGTCGGCTCAAGAGGCGCCCAAGACGGCCCCAGAGAGGTCCAAGAAGGCTCCAAGACGGGCCAAGAGGGTCCAAAAGGACCCAAACAGGACTGTCAAGCAGGCCCAGAGACGCTAAATATCAGAGGCTCCCAAGAGCTCACATTGACGTCTCCAAGCTCGTAACAGCAGGGTTCCCATGAGCGCTCGGTGGCTTAAACAACTCTTAACACCAAGGCTCCCAAGAGCGAGCGGTGACGTGAAAAGCTATGAACACAAGGCTCCCAAGAACTCATAGTGATGTCACAGGATCTTCACACCACGGCTCCCAAGAGCGAGCGGTGACGTAATAAGGGATTTCCGCACCATAGTTTCCAAGCGCCCATTTTGGCGTGACAAGCTCTTTGCACCAAGGCCTCCAGGATCAAACAGTTACGTGAGAAAGATCAGAACTTGAAGACTTCCATGAGCTCTCGGTGACGTGACAAGCTCTTAACACAGAGGCTCCCGAGAGCGAGCGGCAACGTGAAAGCGTTTAGCATCATGACTCCCAACAGCGAGCGTTGATGTTTCTGACACACACACTCTCCGCTCCCATGCCGGCCCAGGTGATGGAAAAAGCGAGGTACGAGTGATTCAGGAGGGGAAATACCACACAGACGCAATTAATCATCGATTCCCAGGAAAATATGGGAACATATGGGAAGTGGGGGGGGATAACAAAAAACCAGAACATGTTTGAAAATATAGGGGGATACAGTTATTTGTGTCTGTTTATTTGTATGTCCCAGGACCCCTTCAGTGATGACGCTCTGGTGGGGCGAATCGCCCTCCAGGGAGGGGCTCCAGGGGAGGGGCGAAGAGCAAGCGCCCGGGTATAACACGCGCGCGCGCGTCCCCAAGACGGCCCCAGAGGCGACCGAGACGGCCCCAGATGCGCCCAAGACGGCCCCAGAGAGGTCCAAGAAGGCTCCAGGACGGCCCAAGAGCGCTCCAGAAGAGTCCAAGGCCGCCCAAGAGCGTTCCCAGATGGCTCAAGTTGGCCTCAAGACGGTTCCAGAGGGGTCCCAGAGGCCCTTTAGAGGACCCCCCAGAGAGCCTGAGGATGCCAAACACATTGAATCCCATTGGTTTCTGCTGTGTTTTAGATTTCTCGCCTTTTCAAGCTTCCGACGGCCAAGGACTGCCCAAGATGCCCCAAATATGGTTCCCTGACGGATCACGAGGCCCGCAACAAGGGTCCCAAAGCGCTCCAAGTGGGCCCCCAGAAGGCTCCAGAGGGCCCCAAGACGGCCCAAGAGGTCTCCTCTAGGCTCCCAAGGTATTCCCAAGTGGGCCCCAAGAGGCTCCCAAGAGGGCCCCCAGAGGCCCCAAAGAAAGCCCCAAGATGGCAAAGCCTAAAAGACGGCCCCAAATGGCCGCAGGACAGCCCATGAGGGCTCCGGGAGGGTCAAAAGGGCCCCAACGGCACCCCAAAGCGGGCCCAGGGACGCCAAGTAACAGAGGCTCCCAAGAGTTCACACTGACTGGACAAGCTCTTAACACCAGGCCTCCCAAGAGCGAGCTGTGACGTAACAACTCCTGACACCAAGGCTCCCAAGAGCGAGCGGTGACGTGAAAAGCTCTGATCACAAGGCTCCCTGGAGCCCATAGTAACGTGACAAGCTCCTCACACCAAGGCCCTCAAGAGCGCACGGAAACGTCAATAAGTTCTTCACTCCAAGGTTCCCAAGAGCGAGCGGTGATTTAAAAAGCTGAGAACACCAAGGCTCCCAAGAGCCCATCGTAACTTGACAAGCTCTTCACACCAAGGCCTCCAGGAGCGAACGGTGACGTAAAGAGCTCTGAACATCAAGATTCCCAAGAGCTCTTCCGTAGCCATTTTGGCTCAAAGTCGAGTCCAGCCTTTTGCGCTCATCACCAGACCCATCCCCCACCCAGCGCTGCATCATCAGTTTCTCTTCGAGATGGCGTCTCGCCCGGCTCTTCCCGGCAACAAGAGCCTGAAGGAGGCGGATCCCACCATGGCGGCGTTGATCGAGGAGGAGAAACAGCGGCAGATCAATTCGATCGAGCTGATCGCGTCGGAGAACTTTACGTCCAGGGCGTGCATGGAGGCGCTCGGATCCGCGCTCACCAACAAGTACTCCGAGGGCCAGCCTGGGGCGCGCTACTACGGAGGCAACGAGGTCATCGACAAGATCGAGAACCTGTGCAAGGACCGCGCTCTTCAGGCGTTCAGCCTTGACGCGAAGAAGTGGGGCGTCAACGTGCAACCCTACTCTGGCAGCCCGGCCAATTTCGCCGTCTACACGGCATTGTTGCCGCCGCACGCGCGCGTCATGGGCTTGGATCTTCCCAGCGGTGGCCATCTGACCCACGGCTACTACACTGCGAAAAAGAAGATCTCGGCGACATCGATCTACTTCGAGTCTTTGCCATACAAGGTGCACCACGAGACTGGCCTGATTGATTTCGACGAGCTCCGCAAGACGGCACTGGTCTTCCGACCCGCCATGATTTTGTGCGGAGCTTCGGCCTACCCGCGCGTGGTCGATTTCGCAAAGTTCCGCGAGATTGCCGACGAGGTCGGAGCGCTCTTGATGGCAGACATAGCGCACATCTCTGGCCTCGTTGCCACAGGACAGCACCCAGCGCCATTTGAGCATTGTGACGTCGTGACCACCACCACCCACAAGTCGCTCCGAGGCCCGCGCGCAGGCATGATTTTCTTCAAGTACTCGGACGCCATCCCCGACATCAAGGAGCGCATCGACATGGCCGTCTTCCCTGGTCTGCAGGGGGGACCCCACAATCACCAGATCGGCGCACTCGCGGCGCAGCTGCTCGAGGTGAACACCCCAGAGTTCAAGGAGTACTCCAAGGCCGTGGTGACCAACTCGCAGACGTTGGCCAAGACGCTCCAGGAGAAGGGCCACAAGCTCGCGAGCGACGGCACAGACAACCACCTGGTGTTGTGGGACCTCCGCCCCCATGGCCTCACGGGCTCCAAGCTCGAGAAGGTGTGCGAGGAGGCGTCCATCTCGCTCAACCGCAACGCCGTGCACGGCGACGCCTCAGCGCTCTCGCCAGGCGGCGTCCGCATCGGTACTCCCGCCATGACCACGCGTGGCTGCACCACCGACGACTTCGTGAAGATCGCGGGATTTCTGGACAGGTGTTGCCAGGTCGCCCTCAAGGTCCAGGCCGAGAAGGGCAAGAAGCTCAAGGACTTCGAGGCTGGTCTGCAGGGGAATGGTGACATCGCGGCTATCAAGAAGGACGTTCAGGCGTTCGCTTCCGCATTCGGCTACCCCGGACTCTAAGCAGTGATGAGGTTGCGGATATCTGACGACAGTCAGGCCAGATCCCAGAGGGGAGGAGCAGCTGTAATTTGTTATTCGATCCTAGGTGCCTGTACAGCCGCTGCGGTTTGTTTTACCCCCTGGCGTTGGCTTGCTAATATTTCAGGGCTTCGCACCGCCATCTCAGTTAACTTTTTGACCGTAGCGCTTGCTCGCTGTCTGGGGAAGCGATTTCATCTTGACGAATCCTCTGCGGGTCGCAGTGATTCAGAAACGTTCCAGGGATCGCTCCATGCGAAACAAAAAAAGATTCCCAATAGCTCTTGATGACGTGAAAAGCTCTAAACACAGAGGCTCTCAAGAGCGAGCGGTAACGCGACAAACTCTTAACATGAAGACTCCCAACAGCGAGCGGTGATGTAACAAACTCTTGGGACCAAGGTTCCCGAGTGCGAACGGTGCCATAAGCCATCTCGCACATGTTTCTGAAACATTCTTTCCATTCCCATGCTGGCCCAGGTGACGGAAAGAGCGAGGTACGAGTGGTGACGTATTGGTTGGGCGAATAGGGGGGGATTCCATGGGGAGGGGCGAAGTGGAAACGTTTGGGCGTAACACGCCTGCCGGTCCCCACGACGGACGGACCCAGTGTCGGCACGAACGAAATGGGTACGGAAATAATGGGTACACTGCCCAACAGCAGTTCCTGTTCATTTTGAACAGGACTCGCTGTCGGTGTCGCCTCGGCCTGTGTACATTTGAGACAGAAGGCCACCTGTCCAACAGCGGCCGCTGTTGGTTTGGGACAACATTTGTTGTTGGGCATTGTGCTCATTTTTTCCGTATCCATTTCGGGCGTCCAAAAAGTGGCACCCAAGACGGCCCATTATTCCCTTACAAAGGCCCCAGGGAGGTTCAAGAAGGCCCGACGACGGCCCGAGAGCGCTCCAGGAGAGCCCAAGACCGTCCAAGAGCGTCCCCAGATGGCTTAAGATGACCTCAAGACGGTCCAAGGGGGGTCTCAAGATGGCCCCAGAAGCCCTGAAGAGGATCCCCGAGAGGGCTTGAGGAGGCCAAAAACATTTCAGGGTTCTCGCCTTTTCGGGCTTCGGACGGCCCAGGACGGCCCGAGAGGCCCCAGAGAAGGGCCCCAAGCGGCCCCGGAGGGCTCCAGGAGACGGCCCCAGGACACGGGCCCGTTTCGGCTTCAGGCCCCTTTCGGCTTCGGTCCCGTTTCGGTTTCGGCCCGTTTCGGCCTCAGCCCGTTTCGGCTTCGGCGCGTTCCGGCCCGGCCCGTTTCGGCTCCGCCAGTTTCGGCTTCGGCGCGTTTCGGCCCGCTTTCGCACCGTCCGTGTTTCGGCTTCAGTCTGGTTCGGCTTCGGCCCGTTTCGGCTGCACGGCCCCCGGGTTGCGAGCGCGAACCTGAAAGCCGCAATCAGCCGAAGCCGAAAAATTGGCCGGAGCCGAAACGGGCAAGGACGAAACGGACCAGAGCCGAAGCGGGCTGGGACGAAGCGGGCTGGGACGAAGCGGGCCAGAGCCGAAAACGGGCCGGGACGAAGCGGGCGGGAGCCGAAAGAGACCAATGAAGCCGAAACGGGCCGAAGCGCTTGGCGCCGAAATTGGCCGGAGCCGAGGGCCGGAGCCCAAGAAGCGGCCTCTTCCCCAAAGGAGGACGCGCGCGCGGAGAGACTGCGCGTCCTCCGCGCGCTCTCGGCGCACCTGGGCGAGGCCTACGAGAGGCAGCTCACGCAGCGCTCGACGTTCCCGCCACTTGCGGACGAGGAGGAGTCGGAGGGAGGAGAAGCGATACCAGCACCACCAGGGGGCCCACCTCCAGCGAGGAGGTCCACGATGCCTCCCCGAGCGAGAGACTGGGGATGTCTCGAGCGAGAGGGGGGGACCACACCACCAGGTAGACCCCCCTTGCCTCCGCGCATCTCCTCGCCCTGTTGGTGTTGGTGTCGCCTTTCCTTGTTCCTAGAGGAGGAGGCCGTGGATCTGGAGGTGGAGGATCAGTAGAGAAGATCACCACCCACCAAACCAACCCAACCCGACCCGAAGGCCCCCATTTGCCCTCCATTTCCAGTGTGGTGGGGGGGGGGGCGGGGCTGGGCACATTGAAAAACACATATGGAACCCGTACCCCCCCCCAACCCGACATTCAGGGCTTCGGGTTGGGTTTGGGGTGTCTTGGTAGGTAGTCAGAAAAGGATACCGATATTGCTACCCTTCCCTCGTTTCTGCCTTCTAGGGCCTCCTGGGAGGCCCTCTTCGCCACGGCCAGAGTCGCCTCAGAATTCTTGTCAAGGCACCCCTGGAGAGGTCCGGGGAATAGTGGCATCGGTATTGTTCGGACTCCGCACAGGAGGGCGACCCGCGAAGGAAGGTCTGCAAGAGCCTCTCGGGCCTGCACGTGTCGAGCCTGCTGCCGACGCAGCAGCGCACGGTGCACGCCGCGATGAGGCTGTTCGACGACGGCGACGGCATCGTTAGCAGGGTGGAGATGCGGAGAGGATTGCGCCACTTCAACATCTACTACACTGCGGAGCAGGTGACAGAGATCTTCGCCACGATGGGCGTCGAGGATGGCCAGGGAATGCCCATGTCCACGTTTCTCAAGTACCTGAAGTCTATGACAGAACCTAGCCCGACGCTGCAGAAGGGGTTCCTTGACAAGCCTCCCTCCATGCAGTTGGACATTGCGATGCGATACGGATTCCTTCTGAGTTACATTTTGGTGCTGGTCACTATGGTGCCAACGGCTGCATCCACTCGACCCTGATGGCTGCGGATACCGCGAGGTGATCTGACCAAGCTTGTTCCACAAAGCCGTCGAAGCCACGTAATGGAATTGCGTCCCTATGGAAGAGGACCTTCCATCTGTTTTTGGGGACTTGGCAGGGGCTGGTAGAACAACCAGCGAATGCTGTGCGGCCAGAAGTGCGACCTCATTTGGCCAGGCCACACGTGCGGGCAAGATGACGATGTGGTGGCACACCCGATGGGCCATAGTTTGATCGGGGGATTTGAACTCGCTCGGCTGGCTACACGCTTGCGCTGGGGGCACAAAGACCTTGGAGCGTTGTACTCAGTTGCGTCCTGAGCAGAATGGCCTTCCACGTTTTACGAATTCGGCAGAGACTGAAATACCAGCGACTGCGGTGCTGCCCTAAGCGGCCTCAATTAGCCAGGCCACACAAGTGGGTCAGAGTGCATTCAGTGGGTTTCTTGACGAAGTGGTTGCACACCTGTTGGGCCATAATCTGCCTGGAGAGAAACGTGCCCCACCCCTCTGATCCAGAATCCTCCATACCCTGCCACCGTGCCCTGAGCACTCACCGGAGCGCACAGTTGCGAGTGGTAACTGGATGGGGGGGAGTTATTAGAACCCCCGACTTGCCCGGCGCATCTGCCGGGCGCTCCCTCCGTGTGCCGCGTGAGTTTCCGCCCGAATCGGGGGAGCGTAAGACCCGGGTTTGCCAGGACTCGGGTTCGCCATCGTTTTTTGACGACCGCGCCTCGGATTTTGACGAGGAGGAGTTTCGTGGGATGTCTGCAGCGGGAGGCCTCGTCAAAATGCAGGCTCGGCCTTGTCATTTTTTTGACGACCTCGTCGGGGATTTCCGAGTCCCCTGTACCCAGGTCTTACGTCCCCCTGACCGAAGTGTCTTGCCTCCTGCTCCTCGTCCTCTGCGGCAGCCTCGCAGCTCCGGGCCAGTCCTTCCGCGCACGGTGCGCACGACCTGCCGGGCTCCCCCCGTGTCCACCCCTGCCGTTCCCCCGACGGCGGGGGCAGGCGCTCGGAGCGCGACGTCAGAGAGCGAAAGCGTCGCGAGAGCAGTGCGACGGCTGGCCGCGTCCTGGGGCTTTGGAGGCTGCTTTCGGGCCCCAGGACGATCAAAGAACGAGCGGGATGAAGCATTGGCCCCAGGCAGGGGGGGGGGGACATTCCCAGGGGCGGGCGATTCGATAATCACGACTTGTCGGAGGTCTGGGTCTTCTCGGCGGGGGCAGTCGGTCAGCCCTCCCCCCCTCTCCCGCCCACCACCAGTCCCACGATGAAGATGAGGAGAAGGTGGAGGAGTGCAGTACGTTCGCCCTTCCCTCTCCTCTCAGCTTTCCTCTCCCCATTGTGGAGGGCCTGTTATGAGCGCAACTCACGCCGTTGCCATCACAGGTAAAGGAGGCGCAGGAGGAAGAGCAGCAGAAGCATGCGGATGGAGCATAACAGTAAGGAGAGAAGCAAGCGAAGGAAAGGAGCAGGATGATGAGACAAGGCTGGGCGAGCAGAAGGTGCCCCACCGCCTTCTCGGCCTCACCTTCGCCCTCGTCTTCGTGTTTTCGTTGTCCGAGTGCCCGGCAGCATGTGGCTGCAGTCGGGCCGCTGAAAGAAGGAACGCTACATAAGGAACGAAGCCCCTTCTTGGCCCCGTAAGCGCCTCCGTGCCCCAGGGGGCACGAGGAACAGCACTGGAGGAAGCAAACTGTTTCTTATTTCAGCGTCTTGACTGTATGCTGTGCCGGGTCGGCGGCGCGAAACGCTGCAGTGCCGCGGGGATTGGGGGCACAGAGGTCGCTGCCTGGCTGCCCCCCTCTTTCTCGTCCTCCTCCTCCTCCTCCTCCTCCTCCTCCTTTTCCTCCTCATCCTTCCTCTCCTCTCCTCCTCCTCGTCCTCCTCCTCCTCGTCCTCCTCTTCCTCCTTTCTCATCCCTCTTCCCTCCTTCCTCTCGTCGTCGTCCTCCTCCTCTTCCTCCTCTCGTCGTCCTCTTTTTCATCGTCTTCCTTCTCCTCTTTCTCCTCCTCTCCCATCGCTGCAGCAGTGCAGAGGGGGAGGGAGGAGGCGGAGGAGGAGGAGTCCGAGGCGAAGATCTAGCCATGACCACCGCCTGTGGGATCGATCTTCGGGCACTCCCGGGAGGCGGTGGATGTGGGCATATTCGGGCCGCAGAGGGCTCGACCATATCCATATCCGCCGCCCCTTGGGGTCCCAGGACATGGCTTCCCAGGGGGGGGGGGTCTATGGATAGATCCCGGCCTCGCAGGGAGGAAGAGGACGACGAGGGCGAGGGGAGAGAGAGAGAGAGAGCGAGAGAGTGAGATGGAGTTGTGGGTCCCAAAAGTGGTTGGTGACAGACCGCGTGGTGACCTCGAAATCCCCAACGACCTCACCACGCGGTCCGTCACCGCACGGTCTCGTGACTCTGGAGGCCCCGGTCGCCCGAGACGAACCGAGTCTCAAAACCGTGCGGTGACACCGAATTCCCATGGACTCACCACACGGTGTGGCCACCGCACCACTTTGGACGGAACTCATCCAGGCCCCGAAGCGTATCAGGCCCGCGCGGGCGTGTTTCACAAAGCGGGATGCGCCGCAACACGAACAGGGGTGGGGAGCTACTCCCCCCTGGCGTGGTCAGTAGGATCCCGACTGGACAGCAAGAGCGGGCCGGTGGTGGCTACGAGAGGGAGGCAAACAGTGGATGGTTGCAATCGGCGCCTCTCAAGGTCAGAGTTGTGAAGGCACGTTGGCACCCCTCCCTGCGGCCGTCTTCGTTGGCCAGGGATCCTAGGGAGGGCCTCGGTGGGGAGCGTGCACCTATATACGTCTACTGCTCCCAGAGGCCACGGAAAATCATACAGATCAATGGCTTGGAGCACCGCGGACTCAGCGGGGCCGCAGGATCATGGGGATGCCCTTTTATCTCAACACGGCGTTCCCCCCTCCGCCATTCCCCCCTCTCTTCCCCGCCGTTACTCCACCTCCTTCCCTCGCGGTCACCCCGCTCCCCCTCCTGATCATGAGCAGCGTGCTTGTCATACTTTCTTCCAGAAACGCCCCCCCCCCGCCGCTCTCCTTGACCTCCCGCTTTGTTCCTCTGGAGGGCCGCCGGGGGGGCATCGAGGCCGCCGGTCCGCAGATCTCCCAAGACCCAAAGGTCGCATAGCACAGGAGTGCTTGTCAACCATCTCGGGCGCCTGCCCAGGAGGTGGCGTGCCCGCCAGCGAGGCGACCAAAGTGGAGGCTGAATTCGGGCTCGGCCGCGGGAGTTGCTTGTTCAGGCCGGTCTTGCGGCAGCTGCGGGGAGACGCAGGGACGGTTCTGCCGATTCGCCTTCGGGACTGGCCCCGAAGAGCGCCGCGCGGGAGGTTCGCGCGGTCGATTTGGAACCCCTTCTGGAAGGCCGTCCAGGCTGTCCAGGAAGTTGCGCACGCGCACCGTGGCACAGAGGGGCGCGCGCGGGGGTGGCCATGGGCAAGGGCCACTTCGGCGCAGCCCCTGGCTATGGCCATGCGGAAATGGGTCCCGGGGAGCCGGGCGCCCTTCCTCCCATCAGGAGGGGAACAAACACACAGACACAAAGAGTCATCGGTTCTCAGGGAAAAAACAGAAAAAAAAATGGGAAGTGGGGGGGAAGACAAAAACCCAGAAAATATTTGAACATATGGGGAATCCTGTTATTTGTGTCTATTTATTTGTGTGTCCCAGGGCCCCTTCATCCCAGCCGCGCCGAGATTCGATTTCAATCATGCGTCGTGGCAGTCGTTCCGGTCGCGGGCCACAGCTTTCGCGATGCCGCCATTTGCGCGCTCGAAATGCGTTTCCAGCGCTGGCTGCGCAGGAGAATGCAGCACCGCTCCCACAGTCCCGGCCAGAGGGGCAGAACAATGCTTGCAAACTCATGCTTGCGAGCCACTCTGCGCCCAGAGGGTAGATAAAAGGGAGCCACAGCCAGAGTGCCGAAGTGGCCCTTGTCCGTGGCCACCCCCAGATTAATCGCGCCGCCACGCGCGCCCCTCTGTGCGACGGTGCGCTTGCGCAACTCCCTTGGCAGGTTGGGTGGCTTTCCAACGGGGGCTCCAAGGCATCCGCGCAAGCCTGCAGCGCAGCGCTCTTTCGGGGAACCGCCCCGAAGGTTTTTCTGCAAAGCTGTCTTCGCGTGCCTGCTCAGCTGCCGCAAGACTGGCTTGGACGAGGAACTCCCGCGGCCGAGCCCGAATGCCATCTTCGCTTTCGTCGCCGCGCTGGCGGGCAGGAACCCGAGGCGGCGGACGACCACTTCTGCGCTTTGCGACCTCTGGGCCTCGGGAGTCCTTCAGACAAGAAGCCTCTGGAGACCCCCAGAAATCTCCAGACAAGCATAGTGGGAGACAACGCAGGGCGGCGGTGAGGGGGATGCATCGGGGGAGGGTGGCAATCACCCTGATTACGATCGGAGTGCGGAGCGGAGTGACCGCAAGGGAAGGGGGGGGGAGTAGCGGCGCGAACAGGCGCAGGGGGAGGGGGAGGAATACAGAGGGAAGAGGAACGAGGGGGGGAGAAGCTGATGCGAGACAGTGGAAAGAGAAGGCTAGGAGGAGAGTTTCCTTGAATGCGGTGCAACGGACGCGGGGGCCTACTCTCCACGTGGTGGTGCTTGCGAAGACCCGAGCGAATCACGCGGCAAACACATCAACGGTCAGCGAACTAGGCAGCCAGGCTCATACCGCTGGCATATGGGAAACCGGCTGCAGTATGCGTCGATAGCTGCATTTTTCCAATTCGGCCAACGAGAGATCGCAGGCGATTGTTCGCCCCCACCCGCCGACTCTCCGACGCCAAAAGGACGGGAACTCGGGGATACACCCCCAGCGGGGCTGTTCGGACGCACCCCCATCGAGGGTACACACACCCCTCCGTGTAATCCCCGCGGGTTGGGCCCAACAATTTGTTTGGTCCGTTCGAAAACCACACGAAGTCGGCGACAGGGGTCGACATATTGCACTGCCTGTCAAGAGACGAGG